CGCGCATGCGCAGCGCCGCCGGCGGCCGTTGGGGCCTGGCGCGGCGCCCTGCGCCTGTGGCGCAGTTGTGCGTGGGGCGGCGAGTGACGGGGGCGGCCGGGACCGCTGGAAATTACCGCTTGATCATTTATTTATCACTTCTTCTTTGTCGCTGTTGTTACGCGAGCATCATGAGTGACCGTACGGCCATTACGCTTTCTCGAGGGATGGTCACGTAGGTGGGAAACAGACTTTTTATTGACCTAAACTGTGTCTGGTGACTCATGCGCAGCTACAAGTTTAACCCACGCGCGTCAGCTTTACTGCCGAGATCCGGCGCTCAGGGAAAAGAGGTTTCCAAATGGCCCCCCAGCTACAGTGAGAACCCCCTTTTTTTTTTTTTTCCTAGGGACTTCAGTTGTGGAGACCAGCAGCATCAGTATAACACCCTGAGTTACCTTCTCCCTTCCCACACAGCACTCCCCACCCGCCTTTTTTACTTTTTGTGTATATATATATATATATATGCATATATATATATACTTGCTCCATGCATGCGATTCTGTATGCAGAGCAAGGCCCCAACAGCGTGACACTGGTCTCTGTCTCTGTTGCCCCCCTGCCCAGTGGAGGTGGCAGCCTGAGTTGTCCCCAGCGTGGCTGCTGTACCAGAGCGGGAGCTCAGCACAGGTGCTGACCCTGCAGCCATGACTGCTCGGCTCTGCCACCACCTAGGGCGCCTCAGAGCTGGAGCAAAGCACAGGGCTTGCCGCTGCCGGAGGCAGGCTCACCTTCTTCCCCCCTACAGCTACATCCATTTGGCTTTTTAAATTGTGCTCCACTGTTATGTGTGGGCTTCAACAGGACTTCTCTTGTCCATGCACGATCCATCCCACACAGCAGAAACGGTGAAAATCTTTTAAGGTGTTCACTCCCAAATCCCAGTTCATGACCTTCTTTGAGAGTAGGGATTGTGGGTAGGAAAACAATAATAAACTCAGCACCTTTCAGGAAAGAATTTCCAGCTATGTGAAGTATTTATAATACTGACAGGCCAGGAAGTGAGCTTCAACACCAGACCTGTCATTGTCCAGGCTGCTTAATTGCTAGCTCGCTCCTTGGCATTGTTTTTAATTAATCATCTTTGTGGTAATGTGCAGAGGGATGATTCAATGATAAGTCATTCAAAAAAGCATTCCCAAAGAGCGGCGTGAAGCTGAAGAACCCTCCATTCGAGACAGGAATCCAGCAATAATCATAAAAATACTTCACCATGAGTATGTTTAAGTAATGGCACATACTGCCCACAGAGGCTTCTGCAATCTGCTTTCTTGGAGATGCTCCAAACTTGACAAGAGCAGCTTGAGTATTGACCCCACTTTGAAGTTAGCCCTGCTTTGAGGTAACTTTTTCATGATATTTATCATCAGCCTTTGAACCCTCAAGTATCCCTGGACGCTCTTAATGCTGCATCGTGGGGTCTGAGTCTGGAGGAGAATCATGGCTGCATGGTGCAAACATGGCCAGGCCGTCCTGGAGAGACACAACACCAAGCAATGTGGATACGAGTTCATACCATTTGTTCTCAGGATTAGGGATGGTTCCCAAACTCTTTTTGAGCAGTAAAGCTGCTCAAAAAATACATAGGTTGAGGGAAAAGGGTAAAAGTACTGAAAAAGTCAGCATAACATTAAAAAAAAAAAAAAGAACTGAATTACAATTTAAGTGGAGCATTGCTGAATATGATCTACCAAATCCATGACATAGCCCACCAATCCAACACTGTTATTATGTTGTCTGTTCAAACATTTTTGGGAACTTGCTGCTTTCTCTAATCTTGAACACAGTAAGTACTGCAGTAGCAGTAACTACTGAACTGCATTGCATTCAGTAACTCTGCTGAAAAAGAAATACTCAGAAGTGCTCTATCTAGTGCTAAGCTGGAAATCTGAAATGACAATTATATTACAGTGAAAACAGGAGAGAGAAAAACATGATAGGAAGGTTTATATTTTAAACCTGGACAAGTTGTTTCATCTGAGAAAACTTAGCAACTGTGTCTATACAGAAAACAGACAAAAATCTATTATTTACAAAATAAACCACTGTTTCTTTCATAAACCTAAAAACTGAATTAAAGTGGGATGCACTGGGAACAGCACATCTCCTTTAAATCAGAATAGTAAGTATTTAAACAGTCACACCTAAAGCATAGGGAACAAAGGGAGACTGGTTGCCTTCTCACAGATATCAAGCACTCATTTCAGAGAGATGATAACAAGTTACAGTAACATAGCCTTTATTGATGACATTGGAAAGCAGGTGTTTGAAACCAGCTGTCTTTTCATAAACAGGAAAGGAAAATTTAATTGCTATGATGTAACTACATAAAATCAATTTAAGTCACTAATATAAGAAAAACATGTTTGCATACTTGACGATGTAGTATCATCAAAATTCTTAAGCAATTGTTTTTTGTTTTGTTTTTATATAAGGAGGATTTGCAAACACAGAAGTCAATAGTATAAAATGGTTAATGTTATAAGGAAGTCTGTTAATCTATGATCTTAGTCCTTGACAATGGCTAAAGAAGCAGATCCCAGCAGGATCAAACCACATATATTTACACTCACTAGTGTAAAAGTAATATTGCCACTTAATTGAAATACGCATTTTCAATACTCTTCTAAAAATTAACAAAGCCTAGAAGCTAAATTTTAACCGCGGGTGTTCACATTTGAAACACGGTATTTCTTGAATCCTATTTAATTAAGGCAAAGCATGTTATCTTTTGAAAATACCTGGCATATAATTTCTGCATAAAAATATGAAATAAAAATAAAGCTGTATATATATATTTAATGGAACATTATTATCTATGGTCCAGCAGAATAAGGCACAAAAAGTAAATAAAATGCAAAAGTGTATATGGAAGTTAACAAGGTATTCTATATAGAATATAGCAAAATTCAAGTAGTTTTGAATGCTCATTTCTTGCAGTAGGAATACATATTTAATATAGGTATATCATGCTAAGCCTGATGTAGAATGATTCATCATATAAGCATAATCTACTAAAGGGAGGGAATTTCTGCAGTGACTGCGTTTAGAAATCTGTCATTTTTCAAGGTGTTTGAAGACTTGTTGGTAGGACGGTTTGGACTAGAACCTATCAGTGGATTTCTCCATGAAAGAAGGCAACTTAATTTCTTGTCCAAGTCACTCAAAGGCCTGTGTGCATGCTCAGTCTGTACATTTATACTTTCAGTTATATAAATGACTCTACATGTACATGAAGTTGGACGCATTTACACAGTGTATTTTTTGCGGTATTCACAAGCAAATTTTACCTCTACATAGAATTCCATAAAGACGACTGTGTGCAGTGCATCTCTTCAGCTGCATTAGCAGGGTGAAAATACTTTCAGGTGAATTGATACGTAGTTTATTCTATTAGTATGATTTATGTATCCACAAACCTCAAGGGATTTGAAGATACTTGGATTTGATAATTAAAAGGCATGCATCATCACTTGTTGTCTGATCAGAGTCTCAAAGCAGAAAAAAAATCCCTCAAGTAACATATAAAATAATTTTATAAAGGAATGGGATAGCAGTCTTCACTTTCTTCCTACAGTTTCAGCTAGTTTCTTCAGTCTTTTCTTCAGTTCTAGAGGAAATTTCTCATAGCATTTCTTGCAGACAGGCTTCATATCAAACTCAACGAATTTATTCCTAAGATGACAAACAGGCAAAAAACAATCAGACAAAGTCTTAGTGGCAGAGATTCTGAAAATAAATAGTCAAATTAACACTCACAGACAAAAAAAATACAACTGCAATTTATACATACACGTAAGAAGTTACTTTCACAAAGTTATACATTGTGGACAGTAATTAAATTACTCTGTGGTGGGAGATACTTTTTTCTTTAACTCAAGTGCTCTCATTTATGAGTTGTGTCATTTAAAAAAATGTTCAGACTGAATTTTAGAGTACAACAGGCTAAACATGAGAATTGAAATAACAAATTAAGATTTCAGGTTATATGGAAATAGGTATTTTAGTTTTGATTGTCATAAACACATGCAAAAAAACCTTAAAAGTAAAAGCATCCTTATCACTGACCAAAGAAGAAAAGAGCAGAGGTGATGGCGGGAAGGAAAGAAAAGTTTACAAACAGATTGGCTTTTTCTTTTTCTGCTTATCTTTATCCTTTGCTTCACGTTCCCGTTTGGCAAGTCGTCGCTTAAATTCATCTGGCATTTTCTCGTAACAGTGTTTGCAGACAGGTTTTAGATCAATTTCAACAAACTTATCCCTTTAAAGTTAAACATAGGAAAAATAAAGGACGAAAGAGAAAAGAGTAAGATTAACTGAAGGAAGAACTGAGCAGAATGCTGAGAGATGTATATTAGTAAATGGAGCTAGAAAAAGAAACATGCGCGTTTTTTCTCAAATGTTTTACGGTATGAAAACCAAACAAACTAGTTAAACTATAGCAACATCTACACTTCAAAGATGACCACTGACAAGTTTTGCAGGCATTGCATGTATCTGATAAACTTACTTGAGTGTTAACTTAGTGTTGCAAGTTGAACAAGCAAAACAGTTCACACACCAGGCCTTATTCAGAGCAGACACAACTAGGACAAGGGGAAAAAAGGAAATCGTTACCATTTTGGAAAACAGAAGTATGCAAAACTAAGCACATGTGTTCATGAGACATGAAGAACTATCATCTGATTCTCTTACCAAATCTTAAGGAACTACAACAGAAATTAGGCAACAGTTGGAAGGCCCATGTGGAGGTAACGTAGGGGCCTGTGTACAAGTGATAAAAGCTGCCTCTGAGGGTCCATGCACATGCGTTGGCCAGCAGTGCCAGTTCAAGATATTCCTGACCCCTGCTACTTGCTTCCATCTGATATCATAGCATGACCTTAAGCAACTGCTTTGCGAGGCCAAGTGGTAAACTTGAACTGAAAACCAATACAGCAAAGAGGTGTTCATGTTTCCTTTCTGTTTCATTTCTTGGATCCTTTTCAGACTGCTGTGCCTTAAAGTGAGTTGTGTTTGCCCAGCTGAAAAATGTGATGTGATGTGGAAGCAGCAGTCAGGACAGAACTGGTAAAACAGCACTACCCATTAAAAAAAAAAAGGGAGGGGGGATATAATGGGATAAATTGCTTCATAATATGCTCAAGACAACCTTGGACAAGATTTTATCTCTACTTTGGAGCCAAACTAAACATTTTTCTCTTTGTTCTGCATCTCTGTTCCACATTTCTGTTTGTCCTCTCTCTCCTGCAATAGACCTTCCAACTTTTCCCTGCCAAAATTTGCTCCTCCTTAATCTAAATTAGAGGATGCAAGAGTATGGTTTTCTCTTAAAATGCAACGTCATCAACAGCAAGCAAAACCAGAACCTTGTCGTGCAGAGCTCTTCCCACTTTTACTACTGCTGCACTGCCAGAGAAGCACGGTTTGTCTACAGTTGACATTTAAAACAGTTATATCAGTGCTCGCCAAAGTAACACTAGTCAAATGGAGGTTTTCACTCCCTGGAGATCTCTGTAATAATCACAGACATTCTCCTGAAAACCTGCTACTGCAAATGTTTGCTCCACCACAAAGAGAGGCAAAGAACAATATAGGATATTCACCATTTAAGACAGCAGGATTTTGTTCAAATTTGCATTCAGAAAACAAAAATTACACTGAAAAAATAAATGACTCATTATGTTCTGTTCAGGTTGGCGACTAGAGAAGTACAATAGAGGAGTCAGATCATATGTTGTAACAGTAGAGACAAGGGTATCAGCTTATCAAACAAGGCTGAATTTAGTCATTCACCTCAGTTTCCAGTTCTGCTCATTTTAGTGGGATTTTAATGAAAAGCAGGATGGTATTTCCTCCGAAGAGTGTTCTAGTTCTGCAGGTATAGTCTAGTCCAGAAAATGTAGCTCTCACCCTATACTTACATGACTATGCACTAGATGATGTCTCTTTTTACACACCGGAGGCTTCCTCCCACTTGCTAAGGGCTTTGGCTTAGGTGAGGCTAATACTGGCATATGGTATTTACTTCAGGTAGGTGTAACTAGTTACATAATAACTTTGCATTATTTCAGGTATAATTATCTGCTCTTGGATCCTTTTTTTGGGGACTATTGGACCATTTTATCATTGGCAGCTATCAAAAAACCAAACTGAAACAAAACAAAATCTTGAAAAACTTAAAACATTTGCTTCCATCTAATGAGCTGCTGTCTTTACAGGATACCTCTTTCCACATATAACTGGTTTGTCACAGTTTGAGCAGCCTAGACTTTCAAAACACAGCTGTGTACGACAAACAGGCAAAGATCTCCAGGAACCAAACTGAACTCATGCAAACTAGAAATCATGGAAACACAAAAATCCTGTAGGGTGCCACTCACGTCTTTTGATACCTAAATCCCTTTTTATTCCAGCTTGGATCATGGTACCTAAATCTGTGCGAGATGCTCACTCTCAACATTAGGCATGTTCTTGGTTAAAGTCAGTGGGGCAGCAGCCACCTCTGTGCATCTCCTACAACCCCTGGCCCTTGCTTTTTACTAAGGGGTCTCCAGGTGAGCAGGGTTTTCTTCTGCCACCGAGTGACCTTCCAGCATCATGGGGCACTGTAAGGTACCATTCAGTCCCTGGGTAATCAGATCTGATCTGAGTTCTGATAAGGCAGGTTGATATTTCAGTGACAACACTGGGTATTAAACAGGGACTTTCCCACTTTGAAAATAAGCATTGAGAAAACAAACAAGCACTTACCGTCTCCTTCGATCACCCGATTGCAGTGGAAACACACATCACCAAACAGCTGAAGAGGAAGAAGTTAGGAATTTTTAATTGGATGGTTTTATCCACGGTGGTTTCTCAAACTAACAAAATTACTACATTTCAGCTAATGTGAACAATACCTTTCCTGTTTGTTTCAGTAAAATGAAGAGAATGTTGGTAACACTCGTTTGGTTTTCAAATCATCTCTTACATCATCTTGCTACAAACAAATCTTTACAATATTAAAGATGGAAATATTTGTTTACATCTGTTTGACCCTCCCTAAATGAGATTTTGTCTTAACATTCCTCTAATCCTTAACATTTGAAATATTTCATTTGGAGTCATACATAAAATATTAGTACTCAGCCAGTTTAGCATTTGGATTTACATGCATGACTAGAGAAACATATTGCTGTTTCTGGTGAGTACATTAGGGAAATGATCATTTTTATTTTTCTGAATAAAAGAAACTTTAAGCCAGATTTATTTTTCCCTGACACTTAACATTTGACCACAGTGTTACGGTCCAGGAAGAGCCTGTATGTTCATAATTTCATGGACTTTTTCTACCTGTAATAGTTGACCTACTAAAAGACGTCTGTTCTACATACAGTTCTTCTCTGTTGCCAAGTTCTTGCTCCACCATGACTGCAACACCATTATTAGTAATGTCATTATGGCATTTATTATCTACAGGTACGCCACCAACATTTCAGTCACCTGCCGTTGGTCACTGACAAATCAAAAATCCGTCTGTAATGAGTAGATGCCTTACAACTCCCAAGTGTAATCCCTCCTCTTGCATTTGCAAGCTAAGCAGTGTGCCTGACACCTTGCAGGTGGCTTCTAAATAATAATAATAAAAAGATGCATGTGTGTATATATATATATAAAAACAGTGCTACTGCACTACGCAATTACAATTAAGGGCGTCTAGAATGAGATGGTAACATTGCTTATGACTCGTATTTAAACGAAAGCGGTCACTAGGTGGTGTCCTCTGACAAATGAATTCAGCGTTGGCAGTCTTCGGGGAACGCTCGAACACACGGCCCAGCATATTTTAGCATAAAGTCATCCTAGAGTAACAGCTGTAAGGAAAACGAGCTACTCGCTAAGGCCTAGAGCTATAGCACAGCTACTGAGTGACAAATCTGCTTTAGATTATTGGGGAAGACTGGGGAAGATTAGCTACTTTGATCTTGCAGACATGAAAAACTCGTAATAGCTCTACGGAAGTAACCTTAGAGAACAACTAGATAGATACTCATTACCCTGGCCAGCCTTTGGCAGGCTTTTTTTTCACATGTGCAGAGAGAAACCTTTATAAATTAACTGTAATAGAACATCTACTGATTTTCAGTACACCCGCAGATGACTATAGGAAAACAGGAGGTTTTCATGACTTGTCATCTCAAAATAACAAAACAGAACCACAAGTTTACCAGCGATACATTTTTAAAATATGCAACCTTACCTGATTGTAGTGAGTTTCACAATAGGCCAAGCCTTTCCTCTCATAGTGACGATGACCCAGGAATGGCTTTTCACATTTTGCACAAACAAAATGCTACAGAGAAAATTGTACAAATATTTTTTTGTATTAGTTGGAAGCAATGATGTTTTTATTCTGTACATTGAACCAATCAACTCAATAATGAATATCATTAAAAACTAGTGATTGAGTCGCACCATCTCGGAAAGAAGAAATAATACTCTGTTTTGTTTCTATACCTAGAGCTGCAATATAATGTTCCTTTTAATGTTTTCAATATTGTAATCCAAAAGTTAAAAAAAACAAGGGATTCTGGTACGACTTTAAATAATTTACATTACCACAGTTTCCTGAAGAAAGCATTTGCTAGAGAAGATTTTCAAAACAACCAAAGGAATATGGCTGTGCATCTTCCTAACTTAAACAGAATACGTGGAACTAAATCTCCTACAGGGCCTTGAAATGTAATCTAGTACATGGCCACGAACCTCTCTCATGAAGAGCTTAAACATATTTATGTGGCAGGCGACCATGCAAAATAGAATAGTATCATGATGGCTGCTAGTTAAGGGGTTCCCACAGAACATTGCTGCCTTTCTGGGAACCGCTTTGCACTGCAGCATCTTCTTCTATAATGATCTCATGTTGGTTCCTTCGATTACTGCTTTTAGCTTCACAGTGAAAGCTTTATGTGGGGTAGGGAACAAGACTCGCTCGACAGTGGAAGACCAGACACAAAAGGGGTGAAGACAGGATTAGGGGAATGCATTTATTAACTATTTCTGCAGAATTTCCTCATCTTTTCACTGAAACTGCTCAGCAAAGTTCCAGAACTAATGTTCACGTTTACATTTGTGAAAGACAATAAATGATCCGTCGTCTACCTCCACATGCCACTGCTTGCCCATGGCATTCACCACGCGTCCTTCAATTGGCCTTCTGCACGCTCCACAGATGGGGACACCCATTTTGTCGTGGCAGGGCAAACAATACAGCTCTCCCTTCAACTCACGAGCATCGGCAGTCAGCTCCTTCCTGTGCAAGAGGTAGTGAATTGAGAGGATGAATAAAGGAACCAAACAATCGCATCCCACGAGTGTTGCTGGGGGAAGGTTGAATTTTTAAGCATTTACTGCAGAAGCTCTGTTTATGCTACAATAACTGATTTAAGTAGCAGCATCAAATTCAATAACTGTCATTAACAAGATGGATTTCACAGTAAACTCGGAAAGGCCTGCTAAGCAAGGTGTGCTAACTCTCTTTGGAAAATACATAGTGAGATACTGTCATTCTGTATTCTGGTTATGTGATGCAAATGTGTTTGAAAGCTGTAGAAATGCTTGGCTTGCATTTGAGCCTTATTACCACCAGTTTATTTTCGATTTACATAAATATAATTGAAAGTAAAATGGACTCTTCTACATTTAGGTACATTTTCCCTGTTGTATCAAGTTTCAGGGAAAGAAAAACAAGCAGACACATGGGACAGTTATGCTTGTTCTTTCACAGGCACAGGACTGCATACACTCCGCTTTTTAATAGTTTACATAATTGGAACACCGAGACTGGCTAAATGTTAAAAGGGGCTGCAATCACTAATGCTCTCAATGGGTTGCCCCTGGCACCAGTCACAGCATGTTCCTCAAAAAAGCCTTTGCTGCGGCATTGAAACAAAAAGCTTCCTTTGCACCAGAAACAGGCAACCAATACATCTGTGTTATGTCCTGCGGTGCATCTTCACCTGCGCCTCAGCGCGGGTCGTAGAAACGTACAGCCACATAATTTGCATTTGCAAACACCAGTGAAGTGAAATGAGAGAAAACTTCCAACAGAAAGGTAGGCTTCAATAGGAAACAACAAGGTTTGCCTACAACTTCGCTAAAAAGAAGTAACATAAGCAAAACAGAAACTCAGAGAAAGAAGATCACTTTTTTTTTTCTTTTCCTTTCATAGCAGAAAAATCAGTTTTCATTTTGCTGCTGCAGAAGCCATTACCTGTGCCCAGCGTTCACCCCTTGTAAGACGCCCTTTTCCTGCACAACCCCTCACGGCCCCCCGCGAGGCCCAGGCCCCTCGCAGCACCAGCTGTGAGAGCCCAGAGCGCCGCTGCTGCTCCCCGGGAGGAACAACCCGATGGGCAGCCCTGCCTCGCCTGGCTGCCAGCCCTGCACATGCCCCGGGCGAGCGCTTTAAGAGGCAGGGGGATGGCCTAAAGGACAGCGGCGCTTTTCCCGTTTGCCTTTGCAGAATTCGCTCACCCGCAGTTTGCACAGTTGAAATGATCGGGGTGATATGGATCGTTTTTGAATATGAGCGGCTGTTCGTCGATAATGGCATGGCACTTCTGGCAAATGTACTTCCCGAGGCCTCTGGCTTTCTCCCGGTTGTGGCAAGGACGGCAGAGATGTCTAAAATAGCATAAAAAGAAAAAATAAATATTGCTACAAGGCGATGCAGTGCAAAATACAAAGCAAACATCAACTAGAACCCCATTTCCATCAGGCTTGCTTTCTAGGAAAAAAAAATCTCAAAAGCAATGTGTCTGTTAGGCAAGCCAAACTCAAAAGAGGGAAAGCTATCATTTTTTTTTTCTGTAATCACAGAGGAATGATTTCTTCAGCTCATTTGGATCTACGCTGTGCTGAAACATAGAAGGCAAAGTTTGCTATAGATTGTCACTACTAAATGTTTTACTCTGAAAATCTCAAAAATTTAGATGGGAAGTTGGATAACCACACAGGTCTTAATTCTCTAAATAACTGCATACATAGCATTAAATATACAACGTCAGTGGCCTTATAATCCACTTGAAAACTATTCTTGTGATCACAGTTGGTAAAAATATCCTACCATGTGAAGGATGTCACTGAGCTTTAGGCAATTATTAAAAAATGAGATGTTAAACCAGACTAAAATTGGAAACCCAAGTTGAACAAACAATCTAAGAACTGATAAAAAGACAATACTCCTGCATCTGAAGGAGTGTGCCTCACTAACGTAAAGTCGTTTTATTTTTAAGTGTGTAAGAAAACTTTAACAAGAAAAATTTTAAAGGCACTGACTGCGATAGTGCACTTGACTCTGAAGAAACACAGCCTGAATTTCAAGGTTGTAGTAGATAACTATGCATACAAACTAGTGAAGTGTTTATTTAGGTATCTAATCACTACAGTGCCTGTGACTTGAAAACATCAGTTACTGGAACTGTAGCAGAAAAATATGATCCTCCACTTGAGAAAACAAAAAAAAAGGGATGGGCTGGACTTGCCTGCTTCCATCTCAGCACTTTCAGAATGTTTTCCCTCTTATTCTATATCACAGTGTACCCTGCTGGCTCCAGAATGGCACCAGCTAGACACACACCTTTGGTGGGAAATCAGGTGATGAAGTAGATACATAAACTATCAATATCATAAATGTTTATTATGAAATATTCATTCTTAATATTTACATTTCAGTTTTGTGATGCCCTCTTAAGACTTCCAGCAAAAAGCACTTCAGTCACTTTATGTCAGCTGGAAAGCTTCAGGAACCTTAACCTCTGATTCCCATCTCTCAGTTCATGATATTCATCACCAGTATAGAAGGAAAGTGAAGATCTACCTGCCAGCGTTCTTGACAAATCCAATATCTGCCAATACTTGTTGGCAGATATCACAGCAGAAGCATTCTGGATGCCAACTATTGTTCATAGCTTTAATAACACGACCAATAATGAACTCACCTGTAAGAAACACAACATCAGGATGTAAAAGTTAAAAAGAAAACCACAGTTGAACCACTGCAAAAACATTATCATCCCCTCCTCACCTAAAACCCTCCTCCTCATCTGGTGGGATGTGTTGCTGCCGATACTACAGCTCTGGTTCTAGACTCTGGGATATGGTTTCAGTTGTTCCTTTGGTATGGAACAAAAGCGAATGTCCTCACCGAATCACAACCTTCTGTTCTTTATATTTCATTCCTTCTACATACACTTCACTTTCTCTAAGCTTCATGATTTTCAGTCCCTCTCCTGTTTTAATTTATCTGATCTCCAACTCTTATGAAATACATGGAGTTCCTCATATAATATGGCTTCCTCTTCTCCTACCCATTTTTTCATATTTTCTTTTCTTTCACAGAAAGGCAATTTTCAATTGTGTCTTTTACATATTTTTACTATGCTAGGGTCTGGAAACCAAGATTTGAAGGGGCTCTGCACTCCCTGTGCAACTGTGCTCAGCTTGGGTGGCTGCAAATAAACCAAGGAGTCAAACTAAGTCTGGAGAATGGATTTATGGACTTAGGAGTCCTGTCCTGTGAGACATTAGGAAATCAGCATGAAAACTACAGTTATGCCTGCACAGGGTGACTGTACTGCATTGGAGAGCAGCCATGGCCACTACATATGTGATTTAATCCTCTCTGCACGAGCATTTGGGTGAAGGCTCCCGAGCGCTGCCAAAGCTCTGTCAGAGTGTGCTGGGAGCTCCGGCTCCTAGTGCTGAGGTGGCCTCGGCCCTGGCCCTGCAGGCCCTGCAGATCAGGCAGACGTCGAAGGGCAGCGATCGGGCAGGTGACATGCAAATGACATGAACGTACTCAGTACTCAGCTCGGGGCTGAGTCACACTCTCCAGCTAATTCACTTACCCTGACTCCGTTTGCTGGAGTGAGTCAATAAAAAAAAAAAAAGAGGTTTTAACAGAGTTAGTGCTCTAAGGAAGCAGGGCAAGAGCTGCAGAGGCTGTTCCAGCTGAGGGGCCAAGCCAGCTGAGCAAGAATAACCCGAGATACGTCGCGGCACTCCTCCCTGCTCGCCCCGGCCAGGGCACTTACCGTGCCCAGCAAGAACTGGGTTAGGCTCCCGCAGAGAAACCGCTGGGTCCCCTCACCTGGCTCACCAAAGCGGGTACCAGTGTTAGGGGGCATGAGCGGACGTGGCTGCACGTGGAGGACCCTGGTATGGAGGAAGAGCAGGGCTTGGCTTTTTGAGGGGCTGGTTAGGAGGTTTCCCAGACCTCCTGACAGGACTCCTGACAGAATGAGTTTGCATTCAGGGGAGTGAATGCAAAAAGGGAAGCCCTGGCATAAGGGAAAAGCATGGGACAGAGGAAGGGGACCCTGCAGAGTGAATGGAAAAGTATATGGATCCCTCACACATGGAAAGCAACTGGTCTGTGAGGAAAAAAAAAAAAAAAAAAGTGAAAACCCTGGCTTGTCAAATACTTTCAGTTTGCTGATAAATTGCCCCAACCTCTTTCTGCTTCTACCCTGTTTGTTCAAAGTTACAGCTTCCAATTCAAAGGTCCAGAGCATCTGCTTCCCTCTTTCTCAATATTAACCCCTCCCTTTGCGCAGGGGAAAGGCTTTACTAAGAAAGACAGGTGAAAGTCACAGCAGACTTGTCAAGGTGTCACAGAAAAACAGAGCTTCAAAACTGGTTTAAGCAATAATAAAATAATGACGTCTCAGCCCTGCCCACGAAAGATGTGTCACACAGGGGAGCACCGTGGGAAAAAAAAAAAAAGAAAGGAAAACAACAATAAAAGGACAACAAGCTTGGAAATGATTACGGTGTAGGAGATGATACAAGCATTTACATGAAAAGTGGCAAATAAAACGCTGCCCTCAGTGTCATGCAAGGGAAGCATCACAAGTTGAAGCCTCACAGGAATGTGTTTCAAAAAGACTGAATCATCAGACGATTATAAGACTAGATGGTAAAGACTGGCCTAGCTCCTTGGACAGGACAATTTGGATGAGTTACAATAGTCGAAACAGGTGACAAAGAATGGCTAGAGGGTTCCAGCTGCAGTTGCATGAGAAAGGCCATACGTAAGTGCATGCCTGTATGCCGGTAGGTTTTATCCTGTTAATAATCACGAGGCCATGAACGGCCTATTCACTGGATCACTGAATCAACAGCTAAGCTACTCACTCAAATCATACAAGTTTTTTTTTTTCTAATCCTATTGTTTGATAACCTTTAGCAAAAGCCGCTCCCAAATTTCCCTGAAGTCCAGTTCATTCTGGAAGCTCCAACGCCTGCCGGACAGGGCCGCTTCCAGGGAAGAGGGACAAGGGCTGCAAACCCTTCCCAGCCGTGCATGTTGGCGTCCCACCCACGGTCAGTATGAAGCATTTCACCTTGGGGTGACACTTACCGCACTGATGGCAGCAAGGGGCAAACAGCATTTGAAAATCATGTTCGCAGTATTTCCTCCCTTCAAACTGCAAATGGAAAACAAGCCAAGATTTAGAGATAAGGAACATGCCCTTAACATAAATACTGCAACGTACCAGCTTGTTTCCAGATGCAACTGGGCAGTAGAAGATAAGAGGTTGCACGGAAAGCAGACAATGTGCTAGAAAAACAGGCATTAAATTCACCCACCTTAATTCAGCTGCTAGCTAGCATGTAGAGTTAATAAAACTCTATTACTTTAATACTGCTGAGAGCATAGAGCAGTTTTCTGTGTCACCCATTTACAACACAACAGATGTTTAAATTTTGACAGGCTGCTGAAAACCTGATGCGACTAACTGAATGCTGGGCAGGAAATTGGCTTACAGAAACCTTTCTGAGGGGGAAGCATTTTCCTTGAACCCATTTGATCTTTTCCCCATTCTACATTTCCTGTAAAAATGGCCCGGTACCCAGGAGGAAATAAGCACAGGAGGAAGAAGAATACCCTGGGACAGATATCTTTGCAGTTTATCTTTGCAGCCGCAGAGCCAAAACATGAAGGGAAATAATGCTTTTCCTTCATGATGTTTATCTGAGGAAATTTTAAGGGACAAAATTCACTAAATCAGTGTGATGAAACACAGAAGCTGATCTTGAGGGATGTAGATTTGGATCTGACTTTAAGTAAAGCTTAGAAAAGTTCAGTTGTAGTTCAAGCTCATGCAGAAAAAAAATAAAAAGCATGTGGGAAAAAACAGGTTCAAATAAATTCTGCAGCACTGCATTAGCAGCTTAGCTGAAGAATATGTAAAAACATGTAGACAAGTATGTCTTGAAATGAAGGGAAATGTTTAGATACCTTCAGGCACCTCATTACCAGACAGAAATGCCAAGTAGCATGTTAAAACCAGAAACACAGTATTAGGCATGCTATAAAATGTTTGGATTTGGATGTCTCAGATTAAAACACTGGGAAAAGGGAGATGGCAGGAAGCCCCCACTCCTTTCTTTTTCCTGGATTTAACACAAAACAAAGCAAACTGCATAAAATATTACCTGCAAAAGAAGTTTTGGTGTATGGACAGAAAATACAGTAATATGCTTCCAGGTTAGCTGTTTTATACCACAAAACCCCAGGGGTGAAATGCAGTACAGGTTTAGTAATTATTGGTACAATATACAGAGCAATCGGCAAGGTGGCGATTTAATGAAACAGCCCACGAGTCACTGGAAACGTGGGATCCAAAACTTAGTTCTTGTGCTCAACCTGGATCATGCCTGCTAGGACCAGAAAAACACGTGTTCTGTACAGAAGCTTCCAGAAGTATAGGTTAAAAAAAAAGTTATTAAGTGTTTTTCACGAGTAATAATCTAAAACAGATGACATTTTTAACTGGAGCTTTTTATTTAATTGAAAGACAGAGCAATATTACTGTCTCGGAGGAAAACTAAAAACTTTTGGTAGAGTGAGAATTGTATTTGCTTCCTGCCAAACAATCTGTCAAAATGGAAAAAACCAGAAAGCTTCTTATTTTGTGTAAGCAGGTGGTGCCATGGAAGATGCATGGATTTGCTTGGGTTTCAGAGCCAGTGTTGGTCTGCGCAGACCAAACAGGTTTTGCGTCAGGGTTTGCGTCAGGCAGGTAGAGTAGGTTACTATTAAGTCTTGTTTATATTTTCAACCTTTTTGGGTTTGTTTATGCTGCACCTTGTGGATGACCTAGCAGTCCATCAATCACAGAAAATCACAAACTCCAGGAGCAAATCCCACAGCATGTATTTTAAGATCAAGATCATTTGACTGCTGGAGGCCCCCAAATCAAATATTTCTGCACATGACATTCCCCCTCGACACAGTCACAGAAGGGTTGAGGTTGGAAGGGACCTCTAGAGATCGTCTAGTCCAACCCCCCTGTTCAAGCAGGGACTCCTGCTTGACATCCAGGTTTCTACTAATTTAGTGGAAAGCCGGATACAAAAATAAGGCCCTTCCTCTAAAACGGGCTTTGCTAGAAAGCGAAGAAAACACGGCAGGTACGACTTGATGCAGAGGCACCACCGCCTGTGAGCTGCTGCTTTCAGGACCGTACCGCCTCGCACGGATTTCTGCCGGCATTCCGGACTACGTTCCCCCGTGCCCCGCGGAAGCAGGCGGTGCTGCTGCTCGCGCCCGTGCTCCCTTCTGCGCGGGGTTAAGCGCAGCGGGAGCCCCGCGGGGCCGGTGACGCTGAGCGGGTGGCCCCAAGGCCCCGGCTCCCGCGGCCGGCCGGCGCGAGGAGCAGAGCTCCCGCTCGCTGCCTCAGGCCAACGGGGGCTGGCGTTGCGCAGAGGCCGGGAGCTGCGTTTTCCACTCCTACTTTACGCTGGTGAGGACATCAGCAAAAAATCCTAGGGAGTCTGGATAGGGAAAAGCTTTCCAGGAGCTGTAACCACCTTTAAAAGGAAAAAAAATAAACAAAAAGAAAAGTTTTGAAAAAGTACTCCGGCAGTCTTTCCCTTCCCCAAGCAGTTGCTATTTAGCATACGTGACACATCCAGCAGCAGGGGAGGGTGGCCCCGGGTTCCTGTCACCCCCCCACACACACACACTGCTCCCCAGGGAGCAGAGCCGCAGCTTTATCAGCACACCGCGACAGCGCCCGCCTCTGCGATAAGCGCCCGGGTGACTAAGAGGGGAGGCCCCAGCACCGGCGAGAGGTGGGGGCAGAACGTGCCCTTTGCCGAGCGCTGGGGACCACTTCCCGGGACGCTGGCTGAGCTCGGGCGCAGAGCAAACACAGACTGGCACAGAGCTATCAGCAGTGCCTGCATGTACCCAAGGGGAGCCCGCTCGGAAAAACGCATTAACCTGCCCCACCTCCACGTGCATCTTCACCAGCACCACCACGGGCCTGAGCGCTTCAGCGCTGAGCCAGGGCCCTGCTGGCCGCACGGGGCAGGCGCGGAGCCGCTCGGACCCCTCACCCTAAAGGACCTCTCTGCAGACGGAGGGGAAGGGCCTGCCAAAGGCTTCCAGGGTAAAACAGCCACAAAGGCCCCGTGGAGAAGAGCTGCAAGCTCTTATGGTGGAGACTGTCTTATGGTGGAGACTGTAAGGGCTAGAGGCAGAAGGATGAGAAGGACAACCTGATGTTCACATACAAATCTTTGGATGTTTCCTTAACCCTAATCATTTTATTTGTGTAATGTGTGTGGCAAAACCTACCTATTCTTGTCTTAAACTTCCCAGTTGTCAGGTAGTATTTCTGAAAAACAAAGCCATTGCAAGCCTCTGCACAGTCTGAAAAAAAACCCCAGGAACTCCTACTAAAACACGTTTAAGTACAAGGGGCTAATTTAATTCCCAGGACGATGTATCAACACTCCCTCCGGACTTACTGTCTCTAACAGGAAGTATCACTTTGCAGCAAAGGAGGGCTTAAAAGCCAACCAAAACGAGCAGGGATGTTAACACTGTGGCAGCAGGAAGCCGAATGCCCCCGTGCACCCAGACACCAGTGGGCAGTTTGCCCCTGCTGATGCAGATTCACACAGGCAGGGCCACACAGGAGCAGCGGAGGGGGCGATACTCCTGGCCTGGGTACAGACAGACTTCCTTTCGAATGCAGCCCTTCCGGGGGGGATTATCTGCTCTAGGAGGAGATAAAGGCTTCCTAGAGCAGAATTCCTCAAACTTTTATCTCCAAGGACCATCCAACTCTCTGCAAGAGGCCTATGCATGGCCTGATTGTGCCATTAGGTCTTTTTTTTCACAGTCAGGAATAGCATAAATAAAGTACTCATCGTTTAGAGAAACAATATTTTGTTGTTTTAAAGAAATTTACTTGCACACATATTTTAGTTTTAAAACATTTGTGTCCCTCTACGCCTGCCTCAGGTCTTAACATGTCAGGACTGATTCTTTATCATGCTTGGGCGCAGGCTGCAACTCATGTTAGCAATTGGAAGATACTGTGCAAGTATCTCGGGGGTGTTTTGCTTTGCTTTGTTTTTAATTGCTTCTGCTTTGCAGCTCACCTTTGATGTCTTATGGACCACTAGTGGCTCATTTACCACAAACTGTGCAACACCATCCCTAAAACACTGAGACAGCTTTTGATCCTCAAGCAAGGTGAGAGAAAGCCAACCCCAGAAAGCCAACCCCCTTTGCGAGGCTCTTACCCCAGCTGCTGCTCCCTGGCTGCCTCATGACCAAAGGATGTGGATCTGTACAACTGATTAAATGTATTACTGCAGAAACAAACTGCTGGGCTCTCGATACAGCGATACCACGCTGCATATGAGAGCACCTCTCTGTGCTCTTAACAAACTGCCAATGCTCCAGGATACTACATAAATCCTATAACCACTATTTTATGCTGCACTACAAGCTATCTGAGCACAACCTTATCTCTACCTGTTTTGTGAACTGCTACATACATTTGAAGCACTGAATAAAATGGATTATACATAAAGCAGGCTTGAAAGAAAAACCTGGCACGAGAGCCTATTCTGACTCTGCATTATAGGTGCATGCAAACCAGGAATACCTTTGGGCAACAGTATTGGATGGGAACTATTCCTAGAGCTGCTCCAGGCTTCCGGTGGGATCACGGAAAGCAGATTAGAAAAAGATTTTCAGAAATGCCAAAAGAAATTTGATACTTATTGAGAATACTACCTTTAATCTTTCTCAGCCTTTGCTCCTCATCTGAAAACTTCAGGTAATAATTCTCTATCTCACCACCTCTACCTTTCCTTACACCAATTCCTTCATACTTTATGAGCTAGTCTAAAGCCCCTTTGTACTTCAATCTAAATCCCCACAATAGGGGAAGTGAAAAGAAAGCTGTATTAATATTAAAACACACAGCTGAGCTGGGAGCAATCCATCTTCGGGGAGAAAACCAGGGGGAGTTGCTTTTGCTTTGGAAAGAGTTTAAGAGCTGCTAATTTAGGACATTTCAGTTTGCCCCCCCTAGGGCTGACCCACCTTATGCCCCATTGGGGTTTGGGGGATTGCACATCCTTCCCCCAGCAGGCTGATTTATGGACCAAATTTCAGTTGCAGTGCTGGCCGCACAGAGCTCAGCAATAAACCTCTCACGGGCTGCGGGACGCTGGGGTTTCACTCTGGAGGACAATTCTGCTCTGCGAAGAACATTCTCTCTACATTTCTGGTAAAATATATAGGTTGCCTTTACAGACTGTAGGGAAGAATGTGGCACTGAGAGAGAAATCTCCAGAAGTTTTTTCTCAGCTCTGACAAGAGCAGACTGCACACCAAAGTCAGTCACACACACTGACATCCTCCAGGGTCGCACAAAAATCTTTCTACTTTTTTCTCTCTGCTGGGCATAGTCTTTCAGAGCAGGATTTTTGTCACAGCACTTTCGAAACTGTCTGCATTTACTTCTCGTACAAGGATGAGAAAGCAAAGCAAGGAGCTGGGGCAGGAACAAGCTGCTGCCCGGCCTACCTCGTAGAAGAGCCCTTCGGGGAACTGCTGGAAGCACTGGGCGCACACGAAGCACTGCTCGTGGTACAGCTCTCCGTTGCTGTTCACTATCTTCTCCGCGGGTGCAAACCCACCTCTGCAGCGCTCACAGATGGCGTTTGCAAGAGCATTTGCCATGTTGCTGTCATAAACGAGAAACAACGAGAACATTAGCCAAAAGATGCGACCCCGCTGATTCAATTCATCTCGTCCTTTTCCAAAGCCAACTGTTTCAGCCTAATGCTAAGCTGCTCGATGAAAGTTTTCCCGTGGACTTAATGATTTGTGGCATTCCCTCAGAAATGAAATGGTCATTTCATTGCTCATACCTCTTTGGAAACATCCCCTCTAACAGAGTCTGATAATTTTTAATTTAAAAACAGATGCATTCAAAAGTGTTCAATGAGGGTACAAAGCAAGTCATTCAATCGGGTACTATAAACACGAAGAAAGAAATACATTACAATTACTGTAAACAAGCACCAAGAGTAGAAATAATTAACACCTTTTAGAATATTTTTCACACTGGTAAACATAAATGCTAAAATATACATAACAGTGGTTCAAAAGTTTTACGATACCAGTTTGAAAGCATATAAAGTATTTAGTCTAGCAGAAATTACTGGAGTGTATAAGCAGAGAAGGTGAACGATTACTCCTTATACAGTTTTTGCATAGCTTAAAGTCGGTTTAATTTTACAAATTCAGCACAGGCTGTCATGGGTCGGCATGCTGGAGATGCCAAAATATTCAATAGCCACCATAGCTGCTTCTCAAAGGCCTCTGGCTATAAAATGACAGAGTGGCAACTGCAAAATATCAAGGAAGTGGCTACTTCATTGGGACGAAGGCCACATCTGCAAGAGACAGTCCAGCTGCACTACAGTTAACTAAGAATCTAGTACCTGGAAAAGGTTTATTTGATTTCCACGTTGCAGATAATTTCTTCCTTATATCCAGACTCTCAGAGCTGTCCTCTCTGCCCCGGTATCACTTGATAGCAGAGAGCAAATACAGGGCAATGGTCTGGGTTCATACAATCTGAGTACGACTGAAAAACCAGCAATTCAAACATCTATCTGGCAGCTTATTAAACACTCAGTGTTACTTTTACTGCACACACGCACATTCTGCAGCAAAATGTGCACATGTGCATACATCCACTTTGAGCACGTTTTGATACAGAGAGGAAAGGCTGTGCTGCACCTGTAGATGCAAAGGGCTCTCATGTTCAAGACACCAGGCCCTTCCCTCCAAGGTGCTAAAGCCTCTTGGCTCCCACTGGATGAAACAGCAACTGGTTCAATTCCTTGCACAGCAGCAGCGTTCGCAAACACACACCAATCACCCGGCTCAGAACAAGTGTCCTTAGTCTGCTCCTTACAACGTGTAGCAGGAAGAGGTGTACTCAAGGTCACACTGGATGAGCTATTTGTTATTCACTGTTCCCTTTATCCTGCCAGAGCAGAAGCAACCGATACCAAAAATATCCTCCACCCTCTTAGTGAAACAAGTGGGCAAGTCTCAGAGATGAGGTGAGACCACAGAACGTTCTCCACCAGGCGTGACAGCACCCACGCACACTGAGAAGCTGTGATGACTGTATGTACGAGCAGTGGTCGACTATAAAGGTAGGCAGTGCTCTCTGAGGACGGTGTGTGCTTCATGGGGGCGAGGAGGAGTGTGCTTTATGGAAGCTCAGCCTCTCTGCCCATCCCACTCACCACTCTGAATGAGCAGCCACCACAACGTAAACCGGGATCTTTCATTATCACATCAACAGTTCTTGAATACGAAGGATGCCAAGCTTAAAAAATTATTCAGTATTTTGTGCTGGCAGATGAAAAGTATAATCCAAACATGAAACACTGACACTTAGAAAATAACTACATGAAAGCACAAAGCTTTCCTTCTAAAATTGTAAAAATATTTGTCCACTTAAATTTGAAACACATGTATGTAAAAACACCAACCCGCACAGCACTGCTGGGAGCAGCCATATAGTCTGTGCATTTCTCCGTAATAAGCTGATGGTCCGAACTCAGAACTCAGACAGACTGCTCTACAAATCCCCAACCAGCACCAGCTACTAATACAAATTCCTGACACATGCCATGATTAAGTCTACAGCAACGGCTCAAGTACTAGTTGGTGATTACAACAGGCAACGTATCAAACGCAGAACGGTGGCAAACATTGCCCTTGAGAGCCACTTAGGCCTGCGCAGAGCTCAGGTACTGCAAAACACATGCAGAGCACACATAATTGTACTGAAGTTACCCGCCGAACAAAATCAACTTACAATCTTGCATAAAAGTCACAGAACTCTTTGTAAACCTTTATGTCGCTGTGCCTGCGCTGCAGCTTGGACACTGCTCTCTCGCCTTGGCTTCCCGCGGCGCTGCGGGCATCGGGAGCGACCTTGCGCGGGATCTCTCCATCCTCCGGGATCGCGTAAGGACGGGCTCTGCTGTGGAAATCCATGCTGCTCTATGCGCTTTTGCGAGCGTAGGCCCTGTGGGCTCTGCAGGAAACCCGGAGGCAGAGGCCGAGCCCCGCGCCGGCCTCCCCCTCGCTGGCAGCTCCGTGCCACCGAGCCGGGCCAGAGCTTCAAGTTAAGAGCTCGGCGCGGGGCGAGCGGCGGGCTGGGATTTACGGAGAGGCGCTGGAAGCCGAGGATCACATTCCTTTTCCAGGCTGCAACAGAAACTTGGACGCTGCAGAGCGGCCTCGCTCCCTCCTGCTGATAGAAGCAGCCCGCTGGGGCACAGGAGAGCTGCCTTATGTGAGCAAACATGTTCACCAGTAAACTTGTCCACGGGTCCTTTCTTCCGAGGGGGATGGAGGCGGATTCCAATAATATCTTATTGGAGGCAAGCCAGCAGTACAAAGCATGAAGAAAATACTTCAGCCATGAGGTAAATATTGTTTTAATACTATGGTGTATTAATTGCATCGCAAAGGAAAAGAAAAAAAGGCCACAATTTTCTATTCCACTTACATCTCATAAGTCAAATCTGTATTTTACTGAATATCTGAATTTATCCATAGGCATCTGTCTTCTTTGTCGGCACTGTGCGGGGGGTAGATACAGATGGGGAGTTTGTTTCCATTTTGCTTAACAGGTCCTTAACAGAACAGCCAGGTAAGTGACCTACAACAGGTGAGCAAGCGAAGCAGGAAAAATGAACCTTGGTTTTCAGGGAGCACGCTGTGCTTAAGAGCAGGCGGCTGTGACACAAAAACCCTTTCTAGATCCAAAAGCTGGAGTAGTTTGTTATGGACATGAGGGAAGTGAGAGGGCAAGACCAGAAGGAAAGAAGAAGGACGAGCAGTCAACCACTGCAGCAACCAGAGGGGTTTTCACGCTGCGGTTATTTGATGGCTGCACTCACAAAACTGGCACGAGCTGCTTACCGAGGAGGGCAGCACAAGCTCCAGCTCCGTAGCCACAAACCACCCTCTTTCCAGCTCTACCTGCCTAAAGCGCAGCCCTCGTGACAGCCACGGGACGGCCGGCTCCCAAGAACGTAAAACTACACACAGAGAGGGCCGAGCAACCGGCCTCCTGCTCTGCGATCCCCCAGCCCTGTCAGCAGCAAAACCGCACGCGTCTTCTCGGCGTGACGCTGGGCTTCGTGGCATCCAAGGAATGTGCTCGTCTGAGGAGGCGCGTGGGAAGGCGGAGGAGGACAGGAAGACCACGACTAGCGGGAACAAGCAGAGAAATCAGGAACGGGAACCCGCTAAGGATATGGCTGAAGTTCTACTCGAGGCTACTATTTTTTGACATGCCTTCTGCGTCTAAAACATTGTAATGACAGGCCACTGCAGGGAGTCTCTGTGGGGACCATTTTGGAGCAGATCTCCCCACCTCACCCGCACAGCTGGGCCTCGGGCTGGCAGGTAGCTCCCATCCTGCAAGCTGGGCACCAGTCCTACCGTTCTGCTGCTGCAAAGCACAAAATAAAGGGGCCAAACATCTGCGAGGGGGTTTCTCCCCTTCATATATGGGGGCCTTGCATATGCCTTGGCTTCTATACCTGCCTGTAGGTCTGGTGACCCAGGTCATGCCCGAAGTGCTGCGAGGGACAAGTTTTCACAGGGCAATGAGGTTGTCACACAGCCTGGCTGAGGCTCAAGCCCTATTTTAATCCGTCTTGGAGCAAGTCCAAGAGGGAGCAGTGCTCAGGCTGCAGCTCTAGGCCACGGGGGCAGGAAGTGGTGCTGGAATAAAGCGTTTCTGCCTGCCCCGCAGCGCCAGCGAGGAAAACACGGACCGTTCCCTGGGGGACGCGCACACAGAACGACTCCACCCTCTCTCTCCATGCCGGATCCCGACATGCTCTGCACAGGTAAGTGCTGAGCGTTTGCAAGTGTGAGGAATTCCAGGGAGACTCGGTGCAATGGACTAACAATGCTGAAACATCCGGATTCACACGGGCGCACTAGGGCACCGAGCTAAGGGCAGCGAGACAGTCTGCCTCCGCTGCCCTTATCTGTGACCAGCCCCACACTTGCTTGCATATTTTGTCCCCGGTCGCAGGAAACTCGCCTGAGAAGCTGCTGCTACTAATCGGGGGGTACTTAAGCATTTCTGACTCCCTGGGCACTCCTTCAGTCCCCACAGTAACCTCCACAGGTTACAGATCCATAGGGGCTTCTTCAGCTGGCTGCTGTGCAACCTCCTGCGCGGCTGCAGCAACGCAAGGAGGACGAGGAGTCACTGCAGGAAGGCCATGCACAACATCTCCTCCTCGCTTTTATCAAACAGCCATCTGAGGCAATAAGTAGAAAAAAAACCTTGCTCTGAATGCCTGCTCTATCGCTCTCAGAGTTTAAAAAAGACCCTTTCTGCAAAAGAAAAAGAACCTTTCTGGTAGTTTCCAGTATGAAGATTTGGTAATCCATGAATCCAGCTCAGATGGACATCTCTCCTTCTCTTTTTTTTTTTTTTTTTGGTCGCTTTGCTGGGGACTTGCGGCTAAGATCCAAGATGATAGACTGTCAAAAAAAAATGCCCTGTATTTTCATTAGGGAATTCTAGGTTACTGTGAGGGGAGACAGCCCACGGGGAGCGAGAAGTGCGCCTGGATTCATGGATCTGCAGTAGCGGCTTCCCAAGGGTGTCCCCTGGGGTCTGGGACAAAACCTGCAGGCCAGCTGCTAAGGAAAGAGTCAGCAACAAGGTGAGAAGAACAGCGAGAGATGTAGCATTTAACTGCAAAAGCCAAGGAGGGAGGAAGGAGAGGGAGACCGTGCTCCCGGCACCCTGCGGCTCTTGTCAGGAGCCCGAGCGGGGCAGGAGACGCAGCAAGGGGGAGCGCAGCGCTCCAAGGGAGAGGCCGCGCGGGCCGATCGGGGCCCAGGCGCGCGGGGCGATCCCGCTCCGGCCGTTCCCACGCAGAGGAACGGGAGTAAAAGCTCGCCCAGAAAATGCCCCTGCGCCTGCAGCGCCCGCAGCAACTCCTGCAGCGAGCGCTTCGTGCAGGGCTGGCCCGTCTCCTGCGCCTTTCTACTGGAATTAAAAACACTCCTGAGTTGCAATGGCTGCAGTTGTTGGTCCTGCAAGTGATAACGTATTTTCTATGTTAAGCTGATCTCTTAAAGTGTAGGAAGGTATAAGGAATCTATAAAGTAAGGATGGTATAAATTGTTTCTAGGAATAAAAATATACACTAATGGTAGGATTTGCACATGTGCACAGTCCTGCTCTAACTATTAAAGGGGCTACATGCTCTTAGAAAGGATGGAGAAGCCTCTCAAAAGCAGGGCTGTGAATAAAAACAAGGTGAACCCTGAGTGCCCACGAAAGTTTCATCCTTTACTCTTGGCCACAGAAAACTCGACTGAGCTCATGCCGTGGGAGTTTAAACAGGGCAAACCAAAGACAACCCGAGCTGTTTCGTATACTTCACCATAAACTTATTCTAGCATAAACATGTCCAAAAAATGCTTTGGTCTCTGCAAACAGAGAGGGTTCACATTCCATCTCTCCATAAGGAAATGAACAGCACTGGAATAAGCAGGTAAGCAGCACCTTCCCACACAGCTTCCACCCATTACAGAAGCCCAGTAAAAAATAAGTTTCTAGCAGAATTTGTAGAGGAGGATAGCATTTGAACTACAGTACTTGCCGTTGTAAGAAATACTTCAGAAAAAGACACACAAGCATTAGCAAAGACACACAAAAATGAGCAAGTGTTATTTTTCCTGTGTACAGCTATTTAATCCTTTTTAAACCACCATCTCCCCCCATTTTTTTTTCTTTTTATTTTAAATCCTACACAGGCAAGTAAAAATAAAAAGGAGGGCATCATATATCAACAGGTTGCAAGGGCTCCAATAAATCTGTGCTGAATGAGACACAGCTTGCTATCAGCTATTCTTAAAACTGCATCCTGAGGAATCGAGTGCATGTACACTTCCCTAGGGCAAACGTGCTGTATCCGAATGCTTTCAGCTCAGTAAACTCTGAAAACTTTAAAGGTGCAGGTACACAAGTGCATTTCAAATAGGAGCTTTATATCATGTTTTGTGATTTAAGAATAGTAAGAAGGTCAGTTACTAAATACTACACTAATTACTACACTAATGTCTCTAAGAAACTTGTTCTATAAAGACAAATCCTTTCAAAGAACAGGTGAGACTACATCGAGGCACCAAACTCAGAAACATCTTTCTGTTTGGACATAAACAGAGAGAACTCCACAACACCAAGTCCGGTCAGCTCAAAAGTCTGAACAGGTTTGAGCAGAGCAATACTGAGATTGGCATTGAGTATTAAATACATGTCATCTGTCATTAAATTCACCAAAAAGGCTTCACCGAATCCTTAGCGCGAAGGCGCTTAGCGCAAAGGCCAGCGTTAACCTTTGCTGCTGCCTTACCCATCGGCCTGCGCCGGCTGTCACTGATGTTTTTACAAGCCGAACGCTGCGACCCGAACAGCTCATCCAGGAGCTATAATTAACGCCTCGACTAAACATAACATCCAGGCTACCGTGAAAGGCTCCCAGTGTGTCCACGAGGTTCCTTATAGGCCTGGGATAACCGTCCGCACCAGGCGACCTGGCTCTAAACGACATTCCCGTTATAGGAACGACTCCGCCGGGACACCACGCGGGCACTGACCTTCAGCCAAGGTGCCTGGGACAGGGCTCGTTGCCTCTCTGGGAGGCACGTCGGTTCCTTGCGGATTTCACCATTAATGCTATACTTTCCACTGCATAATCTCCCCTTTCATCTTCACTTTTCATCTTCCTTAGGTTTATTTTCCTATCCTCGTGCTTCTCATTGTGGAATGCTGCTCAGGTTTTCATCATCTGCATTAAACATTTTGGCTTGGGAAGGCAAAATGCAGTAAAGCAAATAGCTTTTGAGCCGTTTCCCTTTTACATAAATTACATTTCACATAACAGAAATTAAATTTTAATTTTTAGGTCATTTTGGTTTCTGGTTTCACAGCTTTTTTTTTTTCTTCAAGC